GGGCCATCTGGAGACCACAGCACTGCAATCCATGAAATCTCATGGTAAAAAGCAGATGCTCTTTAAAGTGCCACATGACTCTTTTGCATAGTGCTACTGCAAGGACAAAACTGAATAACTCCATGAATGGGGAGGAAGGGACCTGGTTAGTCTTAAAGGTGCTGCCACATTGTTGTTGTTTTACTTTTCTCCCCCGTTTCCCCTCCTTTTCAACCAAGCATACTATCTCTGCAAGAAGTATGGAATGTAAAAGTGAGACATCATAATAGTTTAATACAGGACTAGCTTCTAGGAGAGCTGGTGTGGTGCAGTGGTTTAAGTGTTGGACTAGGAATCTAGAAGACCAGGGTTCAAATCCCTGCTCTGCCATGACAATCCACTGGTTGACCTCAGGCAAGTTACATTCTCTCTGAGAATGGCAACAGCAAATCTCCTCTGAATGTATTTGCCAAAAAAAGTATAGGTATGAATTGCTATGGCTGAAAAGACAATTGTCAACTGTGAACAAATGTTTTGGAAACTGACAAGATCTAATTTTGAGTACCTCTTGAACCATGGTCTTGAGAAAATGCAAACATAGGCTTCAAGTCTTTGGGTTGGCATCTGTTTCTTGGAAAAAGTTCAGATACGTGCATGTTCAGCTTTCTGTGTTGTCCATGCAAGGAAAGTCCCGGGATGTACACATTTTCAAACAACCCAACCCAGACCTTCAGCAAAGGCAGGGCATGGATAAACCATTTTCTTCTTTCTAGATAACATTATGTAACTAGAATGGATAAGCTCCCTCCTTCCCCATCTCTGTCCATGTATGAATAAGACAGATGTAATGACTAGAGGCTATAATTCAGAGTTGTCACAAAAATGCAAAACCGACATGAGATGGGATGATGGAATCAATGAATAAATTTTAGCAGTTTTTCTTCCAATGAAAAAAAACCTTCAAAAATGATACAATTTTCAAAGCCAACCTGTAATCTGGGATTTATTCTGATCAAAATTTCCAAGTGCTTGTTTTGCAAGGGAACAGCATTTCTGTGTTTCTATGAAACACATGATAATTTTGTACAGATTAAGTCCCCAATTGCAGCATTTTCTCTTTAGGAAACAGCTTGTTCTGTGCCGAAAATGGTATTTTTTGCACAAAACCACCACATGCAAATTTTGTGCAGAATATGTCCCAACTACAAAGACTTTCATCAGGTGCAGGATTCTTCTCACCAGGGTTTATTGACACTTGAAAAATGTGTTTATGGTTGGAGAATAATATGTGAGGGTATACAGAGATGAATGGATATATGTGCCTCTCTCTCTCTCTCATATATATATATATATATATATTATATATATAGACACATATATCCATTCATCTCAGTATACCCTCACCCAAGCATTTTTTTTTAAAAAAACCATAAATATTTAATAAAAGGTTGAACATTTGCTTTGGCCATAGGTACCCCTTCACACACACACACACACACACACAATCCTGCCCAACTTTTTCCTGGTCCAAAAAATAAAATAAAAAAAAACCCAGTACTGAAAACCTGTGCTTTCTTTCCAGAGCTCACACCAGTATAGAAAAATGCACATTGGTTAGGAAATATGATGGTTCAACCATACACCTCTTCCACTTCTGAAATCCTACATCTCCCTTCACCCTTAGACTAGCTGCTCTCCTACAGATTTTCCAAAGGTTAGAGAATGAATGATGCAAGCGCCATTCAATGCCCCCCTCCCCGTTTCCTGGCACAGCCAAGTGAATCCCACTCCCGATTCCCGTACCAAAGTGGAATTGATAATATGTTAATTCAATGATGCTGGTGCTGTAAGAGCAGTAATGTGATGTGATGGTGAATCTTCTGGCATTGTAGCTGGTGATGATGAGGCTGAATTGGCTGAGAAATTCCATCATGGCTACCCCTTTGATATGATGGAGAGGAGAGACAGAGGGAAAAGAGATACTGAAGAATGCTGAGACTGAGTAGCACCCATGTTTATATCCTTTTAGCTCATATTGCAAAGGTTACCCCCAATGGTTTGAAAGGGCACTTATTTTGGAAACTGCATTGTGGCTTCCTTCTGCTCCTTCTCACTGCATTTAGGTCTCCTTGTTGGTTTGTTTTGCTTTTATTTTCAAGGTGAGACAGCTGCTCCTTTCTCTAATTCCAGGCTGGATCCCAAGCTGCCAGCCAACACATCTGGCACACTGATGCATGACTTTGGACCTCCATTTCTCATGCCAGGTTTCTTTTGAAAAATGATCTAGTTCTCCCCAATCTTGCTAGATTTGCTCTTGAGCAAAGGACAAAGGCTCCACCTTCATCCCTAACAATGCTGAGGACTATTTTGGAACATTGTGATAGTTTCAGAGAAACAGCAGTGTCCACCATTTCGCTTTGCACTTTCCCAAATGTCCACGTATATTATATTACATCTTTTTATATATATATTCTGTTTTAGCTTTTAAAAAGAACCTTTGGGTCAGCAATCCACCCTCGACAGTCCCTACAAAACAGATTCCATGTTTTCACACCATTCGTGGTCTTCTAGGTTGTAGATAAATTTTGTCCTATGAGGGGGATTTGAGCCAATGGGGTCCCGTCCCAAGTTGTCCAGGGTCAACGTGGAGGAAAAGAACTCACTAGTGCTGAGACCACCTTCATGATTCTTGATGTATTTCTTATAGTTCTTCCTTAAGCACTGCCAGGTGGTGGTGTACAAGATGAAGGCAAGTGATTTCAAGGTGATAGCAATGCTCACATACAAGTACCTGTAGACGACGTTGTCATACAACCCACATGCTCCTTGCTCTCCGCAGAATGTGCTCCAGAACAGGCAAGTAGAGTCAATTCCTGCTCCAAAGATGAGAGGAGGTGGGATAAAACCTATGAAAGCAGAAAAAACACATATATTTTAACCAGCTTGGGGAAAAGGAATAGAACATGTTTTCAGGGGATTTCTGCTTGGGTTTTTACGAACTTAAAAAGAGCCCTGATGGATCGGACCAAAGGTCAGACAAATTCAGGGGTATTTGCACATTGCACAGTGATAGCACTTTGATACCTCTTTAAATGCCTTGGCTTCATCCTATGGAATCCAGGGATTTTTGTTTTTATTTTTTTTAGTAACAGCATTCTCTGCTTGGGAACGCTAGTGTTCAAGTAGGGAAGGAAAGAATATTTGAAAATATTCAGCCACTGGTCAAAAATGTGTTTCATGAGTGATAGGAAATTCCAATGAGGATAATCCCGGACTAATGGAAGTTTCGGACATAACTTGCAGGGTTTTTTCCCCTCTTCACAGAAAACAACATCTTCTGTAAAGGAGCCCCTTCTTTGTACCTTATTAGTAATGTCTGAGCAAGATGTCCATTCAACCTCACTCAGGCCATCAGTTCAAGACCTCAGGCATTACTAAACAGGAGAACTGATTCTGCCATCCCAATGGATTCATGTTTAAGCACAGACAGTGGCAGAGAGACACAGAGGTCTTTGGATTCACTTACCTAGCAATCGGAGGAGGAGGAAGAGCACTCCCAATGCATAAGACTTCAGCTCTGGGCTCACTGTTCTGTATGGGAGAGACATTCAAGCAAGAAGAAAAAAATTATATCTTGTCTCCTGGCTTCTTTGATTAACAACCCCCCTTCTCCACTGTGCCTTGCTGTCAACGGGGATGACATGCTCCTCTCATCAGAGAATAAGATCTTGAACTGGCTTCCTTCCTTCCCACTCCACGTCCAACTGCCCTTGGGTCTGAGAAAGAGCTACAGCTGCAGCGGCCTGATAACGGTTAATGACTAATCTTGCTAAAGGAAGATCCCCATCCCTCATTGGCAAATCACAACCCTTGGAAGCCATCACTTAAGTTTCAAGTTTGGCTAGAGAGTGTCAGATGTTCTAGTCATGCTGGCTGGTGAGTTCTGGACACTGCATAGCAAAATGGCTACTTTTCTAAACTTGGATTATATACCAGAAAGAACAGCAATCCTCCTAGATCAATATCTTCTTGGCTATTTGTACAGTCGCACCAGATCTCCACTGCTACAAGTTCTCCGCTCTCATAAAACTCCCAATGATTTTGCAGGGAAACATGGTATTTGTAGACAGTCCATTTTGTTTTTGGGCTCCCAGAAGTACTGCATGTGGCTGGGAACCACAACATGTGGGCCCCCTATAAAACCAGTAGAAACTGTGTGGACACAACGCATGCCCCCCAATCCCAGAATGTTTCCCAGCTTGATCTAGCACTTCTGCACATTTATTATGATTTTTCACACTTCAGGGCATTCTTTTTTTCTGGTGGAAAGATAGTTACATTGTGCAGACAGTGGGGTTGTGCAGAGAAATCAGTGTATTCAAAATATACTGGCCAGAATCCTGCTGGGGGGGGGGTCTTACGCATATATAAATTCCCCCATGGAAATAGTTGGATATTTTTGGGTGATGTACAGCATCTCCATTCAGTTCATGGTTGCAGAAGCAGAGTTGTGCATGTGGTGCCACTGTGCATGCATATGTGCCTTCTGTTATGCATTCAGTTGCACATTTAGATCCCCAGTCAGTTGTGTGATGCTATTTAACACAAAAGTTGTTTAGCACAATCAATGAGCAACCCTGTACACAGATATTTATTCTACCCAACCTCAAGGCAGGATCTTGGTCATTGTTTTCTGTCCAAAATTTTTTTGGCCTTTGTGCAAAACAAACAAACAAACAAACAAAAACAAAAGTTTAAGGCACAAACAAACCCCAGTATGTGGAAAATTTTATGGTGGTTGCCCATCTTCTTAATGAGATGCCACCATGTGTCAGGATACCTTTCTGTTTCAGGACAAGAAAATATAGAAGTATTCCTTACATTTCAGCTCTGACGAGAGAAGACAGTTTGGGCTTATGGTGTTTTTATGGGGAAAATAGACTTGAAAACTCACAAGGAAGAAAGGGAAGACAGGGTGGCATAGAGATATGATAGAAACCATTCTGTCTTCAGGTCAACAGTGTGCTTTAGCACCATCCCAGCCTGGAGCTTTTCGTACTTGGGTGCTTTGCACATGAAAGAGGAGTTTGCTTTTGAATCAAGTTCACATTGGGAAGATAAGAGACAGTTATAATGACAGTACACTGCTCTGAAGTTGAGATGACAGCACTTTCAGATCAGGCATTAATTAACTTCTCATGGGCACTTTTCATACCATGGCAATTCAGGCAGTTGGGATCACAGGCAAGAATACTGTTGCACCTTATGTCCATAATTAAATACAAAGAAGAACTAAGTATGATGATGATGGTGATGATGATGATGATGATGCCCAGTTTGGGAAATTCAGCAGCCTATCTAGAAAAGGGCCATCAAAAATGATCAAAGGG